AATACATTTTCTTGCTTACATAATGAATAACCAAATCACAAGAATATAAAATGTAGCCTTTCTCTCACGTTTAGTTATATTGAAATCTTCTTACTGAGTGAACAATTGTAATATTAAAATAGCATTTTGTGCTACATCCTTCTTTTGTTTTCTTCTTCCAGACAAACTCACAAGCCTGGCTTTGCAACCAGTGATAACTCCCGAGCTTGTGCAAGGTCGTGTCCACCTGAAGTGCAGTTACAGCCACCCCTCCTCGAAGCCGCCGCTGCAGTACATGGTGGTCTGGTCGCGCCTCTCCACCCCTGGCAAGAAAGAGCAGATTCAGCGCGACACCACCCTGCAGTCATTTTCCTACGTAGAGATGAACGGCGTAAACCTCAGATTGGGAGATACGGTAATGCCAACCCGCCTTCGGCAAAAGAAGTCAAACACTCAGGGGGCAATCAAATCCTTTTCTTAAATCTTTATTGTGTTTTTATTAGCGCTGCTTCTCGTTCATTATACTCACGACTACTGCAGAAAAAAAATACTGAAACTGTTTCACAACAAGTTTATTAAATAGCATTTACCAGATTCAGGGTCTGTAAGATTTCTTTGAATTGCAGTGAGTTCACGGAAGCTATCCATTTTACTGTTTTCTAAAGACAACTTGAATATTTGCACTTACGTTACAGCTTAAATGCCATGAAGTTGGCATGAGTAGTGCCTCAGCCAATTTTTGTTTAGTGGTTTTTTGGTATCTCGCAGCAATAAGAATTTGCAGTAGAGGCAGATTCAGCTATATGCACTCAGTAATTTTTATACTCATGGACCAGAGACACAATAACATCTTTTCACAGAAAAGAAAGACGGTACATTTTAAAATAGAGGGAGGTTTATTTTATGGTTTTTTCATGGTGTTTTGCCTCTCTGATTCCAAATTCTTGGTTCAATAGCATACTGAAAGATAGAGTTCATTACAAAACAATCTTTAAGAAGTATATTTGATGGCTTACATAGCAACACAGATCTACTTTCAACAACAAAATCAAAACAGAATCCAATACAAGATGTGAAAAAAAATTTACTTGTGTTTGAATTCATGACCTTTCATGGTACAGAAACAAGACTTTTAAAGTTAAATTAGGTTCATAACTTTTATATGCAGAGAGCCATTAGTGATGCTACAACGAACTAAAAGAATAAACAGGGATAATGGCCTTATGTTAAAAGTAGGTTGGAAATAGTCTTGGCATCTTGCAGCTCTTCTTTGAGATATTTAAGATATTTAAGAAATGTGAATAAGCTTTTTCCAGTTCTTGAAAGGATGAGTCATTTATAACAGTAGCACAATCTAGATAGTTTTTTTCTCATTTCTCCTGGTAATTACGCCTCCTGAGTTCAGAATCTGACTGATGCTGCCCTCAGTTATAGTATAACATGAGGCAGACAATTCTGCCAGTCTAAGACAAGTTTGTGTTACAAAGAGATATTTTCATCAAAATAATTTCACTTGCAATCACTTCAAATCCAGTTTTAACAATCCTGAGGGATTCAGAGAAAATATAGTTCTGTTAACTAGTAGCATCACCAAATCTTTATAAGACCATTTTTATTATATTAAGTTTTCAGTAAGCCCTTCTTTGTCCTCTGCTGAAACCCACATGTTTAATTTAGTGGGTTTAGTGAGACTAAAATGTTCCCTTCCTTGCTAGATTTTTTTTTAAATGTCTTCACGGCCTATTTGACTAATTATAATTATCCATAAATCATCACTGGTGAAAACCAAGCAATGAAGCCTCAGCTGTAACTGGGAATTCAGTTTTACATAATAAAGATTTAAAAAAAAATCATTCTGCCGTGTTTGCCGTCCCACTCTGGGTGTCTAATAAGAGTCAGAAAGCGGCAGACTCTCACCTCCAGTGGTGTAAACCTGGAGCAATTTATTGAGCCTTGGTAGGGCAAAGGAAAGGTGATGCCGTTAAAGGGAGAGTCAGACCCCAAGGACCAATCTCAGCCTCACAGAGGCGGTTCGTAACCTTCCACCCGCCCAGGAAAGATGCAGGTGGGAGGCTTTTTTGTCAGGCAGCTTGAAAGGGAGACCAGATCCCCACTGGTAAAAGCCAAATGAGAGAGCAGACAATGAATTGGGGGCACTTTCCAGTTCTCTTTCCCCTTCTCTATGCACAGCCCACGGGTAGCATCCCCACTGCTGCACAATGACAGGGCACATGGGTGACATTCGAATCAGAATTTGTCCCCCAATATGCAGAATTTTGTAGCGTTTTGAAAATTGCTTCCTTTTTTTTTTTATCTACTCTTTGTTTCCTTGTACATACCCTGAATTTGATCTCAATGCCTTTATAGCCTGAAATCAGCATCTTGTCTATTCCGTTCTTGATAAAAAAAACTACAGCCAAGCAATAATATTTTTTTTTTAATCACCTTTCAAGTGACTGATATCTATGCTATTTTTTATCCATCAGAAAGTCTCCAGGTAATAGGTTAGTCACATAATAGAATATCTATTGATATATTTTAAATCACAGTCAAACCTTACAGAAGCGTTGAGATTTACCGGCCAACATTTCTGAACTTGTATTGACTAAACAGCCAGTTATTTTTTAATAGCCATCATATGTGCTTTTCTCTCCCGTCTTTGGGCTCCAATTTTGTTATTTCAGACAGTAATGTTGGCAACATAATGTTTGCGAAACTACTGCAGCCTTAAATAAATCTATAACATGCCTCTATTTCTATATAAATGCTGAAAGAAGCCTACTGCATCTGATATGAAAATCCTGGCATTCCTAAGCCTTATTTATGTGCTAGTGACAGAGGTCATTTCATTCCTCGAGGCACAGCCATCTATAAATTATAGTGGCACACTGTGAGTAATGAGTTATGCTAAGAAAGAAAGGTGTTTAGAAGAAAACTGTGCAGATTTTGCGCAGCACAGCAATCCAAGAGTTCATATGGCGAGGAGCAATTGTCACTGTACATAAACTATGATGCACATTGTAAAATAAAAATGTTTAAGTAAAACTGGCCTTTCCGAGCTCCGTGCTAGAAGTGACCATTTCACATGGCGCTCTGCAACAGCAGAAGAATATGCCCCAGCCAAATAGACTGTAAATTAGTGCCTCAGTATATAAAATAACTAATTTTCACTTACAAGAGGAGAGGAGAGAAATTTCCTCCTTCTTAAATAGTAATCCCATCCCAACCACTGGACTTGACAAAATCAACAACAGAAATAGGAAGACCTGCCTATTTGTAGGTCGCACCCAAGTTTACAATTTCTCTCTCAACCTTCAGGTAGAAAATGAGGAGCATCCCTGCAGAAACTGAGCTCTGGGTAGACTCGAACAGAGATTTTAAAGCAGAAAGGGTCAGAGAGAAACTCTGCAGATGATAAGATACCTTGCTACTACCCTGGGAAAATGTCTTTCCTTAGAAGATGAATGAACTGCAGTCAACCTCCACGTACTGTTCGGCCATTTGGCAGCTGGGAAGAGCTGCCTTCTTTGTACGTAGCAAATAGCGGCGTGGCTAGGGCTGGGCTTCCCGCAGCGTCAGGTCACGCTGCTGCACCGGCGCCCTCCCTTCTGCAGCTAACAGCCCATCTCAGGGAGTGATTTGTGTTCAAAAGCTTTAAGGTCTAGTTTATTAATTAACTTGAAGTCAGGTTCTCCCTGATTTCCCCTTCATGCTTACCTTTCCGGAAAGCCTTTCCAGAGACTTTGTTCCTACCCATCTCTGCAAATACCTACAGCCAGATTGTTTCTTCCAGCTAATTAGAACTACGTTGTTTTTCCCCCCCAGCTTCCCTAGAAATGCCATCCTTCAGCTCTGCTCATCCTTTGCTCTTTTCATCAAGGCTGTAAACCACAGCTCCCTCCCACACTCCCCGGCTCCCAGCAGAGCGGCTCCTCGAGGCTCCTCTCACGCCAGCCCATTAGCGTTTGACACAGCAGACAACAGCATCTCGGAGGCCTTTGTAGCCGTTGCGAGACCCCCTTTCCCCTGGCACGATCGATTCCCTGCCCAACCCTTCACCTGCAAGCCATGAGCGTGGCTGAGAGACTCTTACCCTTGCAGCCCCAGCCTGCCTTTTGACATGGGTGATGCGGGAGGGTGGATCGAGTCCTGGAGTTAATAGAGTTAATCACCCACAGCGTAGGCACCTGCACCTTATGAGCAGCACGCAGACTTGCCTGCCCGGTGAATGGGGAGAAGTGGGTATCCCTTGATGGTACCTTATGTTGAGAAGAGAGCTTCCTATGAGCAGCCAACGTAAATTACTGACCAGAGCAGCATCTCTGAATTCCCCCATGTCTCAGGAGACTGGATGTCCAGGTCGGGAAGGTGCCTCCATCTTCTTTTTAAACCAGACCTTCAACTTCTCCTCAGATGTACCTGGCTGTATGTAGTCTTTGAAAGATCACTACCAGTAAAAGTAAGTATTTGAACTGTAAATCATCGCTGTTGTCACTGTGGGGCCTCTGGCACTACAATACAGCTCAAGTGCTTGCTGGAGAGATGGGAAATGGGTAAGCTGGTCCTTCCAGCTGTGAGCTACATGCATGTCCTGCCCTTCCCACCCCCAGGACGCAGGCTGCACTAGGAAAGGGAGCAGGGACAGCAGCCAGGAACCAGCACGTGCATTTGCTTATTTTCTCTGGTGACTGTCTAGGTAAAACATGGGAGCAGTCTTGATGGACAGACCCAAACCCAGTACTCCCATCTGCTAGCTCTCCCTATTTTGCAGACAAGTGCCGTTGCCCCTGGGATGCTGTTGAGATAGGTGGTGGCACAATTTCTGCCAGTGCCTTAGGAAGTGTGCGGCTGAGTTTGGCCTTTCTGAGAGCTCCTGAAATTATCTGTCAAACCTAGGAGCCTTCACAGGTACCTGACAGATGATCAGGGATGGGTTTTGATCACAAATATCTCCTGTTTTGCCTTCGGGAACCCAAACCCTTATCTGAGCACGGCTGGGAGAGGCTGATGAAACTGGAGGCATGGCCGTGCTGGAGGTGCCAGCAAGCATCCCCTTCCGCGCCCCCGCCTCTGCGCACGCCGCCTTTGAAGATGGCAACAAACGTGAATATGACTTACTTTCAGCTTTTCTGTCTCTGCCCTTGGCCCCACATCTTTCACTACATGCTCAAGCTGCCGCAGATGATCCCTGCGCTACATTCAGAAGTAATTAGGGGCAAGGAAAAGGGTGAAACTTGAGGCGGGTTTATGTTCAAAATGAGTATAAACAACTGATTGGAGTGAGCTTTGGATTCTGAGAGCTCTGAAAAAATCCACATTTTGATGTGCAAGTTGTTAGAAGAAAATTTGCTGGAGATGGTGACAGGTCCTAGGATTAAAATACTCTACCAAATTGTTTCCCAGAGCTACCTGACCCCCAACAAATTAATGACTGAATTCTGCTTTTAGCTAAATATGCTGCTCGCAGGGTTCACAGCAAAGTGGGAAGGAATATGATTGAGTCCACTTAAGGGTGGAAATCTGCTCCAACACACAGGAAAGGAAAAACTTCTTAGCTACCAGGGCTTTTTTCAAACAGAGTTTTGTGCCTAAGAGTATTTTTCCATCCTATGGGAAGATCTGCCGGCACATGAGGGGAAAAGGAGCACCCCACACCCAGAAGCAATCCAGTCATCCTGTCCAAGGGCACCCTTACATTTCTGTCCCTTTAAAAGGGATGATGAAAAAATATAATTTGATTATTTTTTTTTTAACAGATCCAATGAGTTTGTGGAAAAATACTGCCTAACCTGTCACAGCTATCAGCACACTGTTGTCAGTGATGCTTTTATCTCTTTGCTTTTAAAAGGCTGCATCCTGAGATGGGGGAGGGGAAGAAGAGAAAGAAAAAGTTGATTACTGAACTGAAAAAAAAGAGCTAGTATTTAGCTGAAGGCAAAAAAAACCTTCTCGGAGTGACTATCATAATAATTATGTGACAAACTGTCAACCTGTAGCTCAGTAGCCAATGAACATATCTGCTGATTGTGAAGTGAAGTGTGCACCTAACAAGGTAAAGGCTCTACAAGGGGAGGAATGATATAAAAGACAGAAATAAAATGTAATTCATGACGGCTGTCCATACATTTCGAATTTGCGAAGTTTGTGCTAATCTCCAGAAGTGCTGAAGATAAAACTGGAATGGACTGATAGTCTAAGAATATCTCAGTGTATCATTATGGAGTACTTTTTTATTTTAGTGTTCAGTGCTTTATCAATAAAATATACCTCTAAAATATATATGTGAGAAAATACAATGCTTGCGGGGAATGAGGCTGGGTTCTGACATTTCCCAGGATGTCACTTTGGGGAAGATCACCGGGAGATGCCTCCGTCGGCACCAGGCAGCCTGGTGGGCGGCCCTGCTGCCTCTCATTACAGCTCCCTTCTTGGCAGGGACACTCCACGTGGCGCGCTCAGAGGGATGTCTCCCTGTGAATACTTTTGGTAAAAAGCATCAAAGCCAAAAGTGCAAACGCCCCAGCAAGTGTAAATATAGTATCTGCAATGCAGGTGCAGTGGATTTGCTCAATGAGCTCTGCAAGGAGATTGTTTTGGTTGTTTGTCTTGGGTTTGGGTTTGGTTTTTTTTCACTAGGGGGAATACACATTATCTGAACTCTTTCTCTGTTGTCACCGCCTTGTCAGATCCCGATTTTGCAGACTCTCCCTGTGGCAGCTGTAGGAGAAGCAGCAGGAGGAAGATCAACACTCGCCTTCTGCGTTTGCAGCAGCAGAACTTTTTTGAAAACTTTGTAAGCTGAACACAAGCCTTTAGGGAATGCTTGGAGATAATAAATATCTAATGATAACAGGGACTTATTACCTGAGGAGACAAGGACTTGTTCTCCTTTGGAGGCAAACTGGCAGCTACAAAGTATCTGAGAAATTTTAACTGCAAAGTGTCTCTGTGAGGCCCTTCTGTCCCCCAGTACACCCAGCAGGACCTCAAGGCTTCCATCTGGTTGACATAACAAATAACACCATTTTCACTGGGCCAAACTGGCTGGAGCTGGCAGCAAAAGTGAGAAACTTTGTGACGGTAAAAAACCACTCAAAAGGGACATAAAGTTGGATCTGATCTGGATTGGAAATGATCCAGCTGAAGAGCACAGAGAACACGTGATATTTCCCATAGCCGTAGAAACGACGCCGTATTGCTGGTGGGGCATTTTTGTTGTGCGCAAATGAATTAAGAAAGAGGATTCTTCCGTTTGGAGGAATATCATGACTTGATGATAATGAAGAGGGATTTTTAGGGTGGTAAAATAAATATTCCAGAGCGCTATGCAACTCATGCCCATATGACCATTTGAACCTGGGAATATCTTGGGTTTGAGCCTGTTTCATCGCTACTGGTCATGAGGGTCGTGCCTGAATCGGCAGGCGAGAGGTACCGAGAGCAGCACAGCCATGAGTGATGCTAGAAAATCCATCCAAAGGAGTTTATCACAAAGGAAAATAAATTAGATCCGTCCAATTCCTCCTCATGGGTTACTCGAGGCTTAAAAAAGGCAGTAGCTATAAATATGCCATCTGACTATTTGGAATTGATTTAGTATGTCACAATCTGTTACTCCATTTCCGAGAAGAGGCAAAAAAAAAAAAAAAAAAAAATCAGAGGTACAGTTTCAGAGCCTATTGTCGTTTGCTTTAAGGAAAATTTCTGTAGTTTAATCTTATGATCCTAGAAATGATGTTAGCAGTTTGGGTTTTCTGAAACCAATGAAACATTAAGATGGCAGATGGTGTGCAGGCTCAGCAGAGATAAAGGTTGCGTGACTATGCTAGGAATAAAACATAAGTGGTCTGGTACATTGTATTTGGTGGGGTTTTTGTTTGGGGGGGAGTTTTTTTGGTTTCCCTGATATAAACCCTGTAGGTATATCTGCATCATCTTTTATAATGCAATAAGAAAAAAAAAAAAAGGAGCTTCTAGTATTGCTGACACAGTTTCTGAGACTGGATGACAGTCAAACTAATTTAAATGAAGAAAATAAAAATGCACACAAGCATGGCACAGATAGAGGATATTTGATCCAGTGGACAGACTGAAGTCTGGGATCCCAAGGGCTAATGTCCTGATCCTGACAGTAACATCTATGAATAAAGTAATTTTCCCTAATTAAAATGAGTTAATATCACTAACGAAGATGCTTGAAAAACTGCAGAAGAAAACACACTGTAAGCATTCATTGTTATTAATTGTTGAGACAGGCACCACGTTTCTTTGCTTATTAAATGCATCAAAAATTCTTCCAAATCTCAAGATTTATGCTTAAACATTTTTAAAGCCTAAACCCCAAAAACATGATTCAACAGTAGAAAAAAATCTTCACAACTCCGATCCACAGGAAGCTGCGTAATTGTATGAATTTTCTTCAAGAAAAGCTATAGCATATGCTGTTTATTTATTACAGGTCTTTTGTACTGTCACCGCTTTTACGAGGGATGCTCCTGAGCAGCAGTCACTGCCGGAAGAGAGCAAAGGTTTCTATGCCGGGATTAAGGTAATGCCGATGGCCCTGGTTTACTGACTTGGCATATCCCTGGAGAATATTTATCCATTATTTGACATGCTCTGAAAAACAAGACAGAGAAACATAAGCCTTGATCATCATAACCAGTGCTGCTTTTATGTTCACTTTGAGAAAATGTCTTAATAAATTCTATGGCTTTCAGTCTGTTTGTAAAATGCCCTAAAGCACCCATCAGCACCGTGTGCAGGTGGTGACGCTAATGCACCATAAAGGATGTGCAAAACTACATCTTCTAGTAAATATACCCCAAAGTACTCTGGTGGTTATGTATAATGGGAAGACAAGGATGCAGAATTTTGTCGTGCCTAAACCAGAACAAAGTGGAAAGAAAAACTAATTTTTATCCATCATCTTATGGTCAGGCACTACAGAAAGCAAATTGCTGAAGATAAATTCACACTGAGTGCAAAAACCAGGTCTGATCATACTCAAGGATTAGACTGAGTCTGGCAGTCCAGGAGAATTCGAGCTCTCCTGAGTATCTAAGTTTCGTACCTCCATGAACGGTGTTTGAAAAATCTGGCAACCCATTCTGTGTGATGTTTGAAGAACAATGTAAATTTTTTTGGAAATGTCAGAATTTCCCTGGGAATGGAAATTCCCATTTCTGACCAGCCCCAGGAGAAGAGACAGGCAGAAATGTCACAACCCAAGCTCTCTCCCCAGCCCACGAGCCACCGAAGCTGTAATATATTTTGTACAGAGAAATCCTTCTTCCTGCCATAGCAGGGAAGACGAATCGGGCAAAAATTGCATTTACTTCGCACCTGGGGCAGAGTACAAACAGAATCCATGACCATGAGGTCATGCAGTACTTTAGACAGTGAATATTGCTGATATTTCTCCTGGTGCACTGGAAAAGGAGCTCCTTTTAACCAGGGATATTGAAAATGAAGAAATTCTATGGTATCATGCTATTTTCAGGCTTAATAAAAACCTGTTTTGAGATTAGATGAGAAGTAACTAGACACTATATATAACAACTGCAAACATTTTCTTAATTGCCAAGAATTTTAAAGTATTTTAACAAAAATTTTACCTTATAAAGTTGAAGATAATTATTATGAAGATTATTGTTATTATTATGAGGATTATGAAGATTATTATTATTTCACAAGCAATTATATCTTTTCATAATTGATTAAAACCACTCAAAAATTCATAAATATCAGTATTGCCTAATTAATCTGTCAAAATGATCTAAAAATTATTTTCTTATTTCCAGTTTTTACCAGAATCGTTACAAATTGCAGAGGACGGCACAGAGCATGTTTTGACTGTTCTGAGCACTGTACCCATTGCCTGTCCTGGGCACGATGATTCCTGTAAAATTACTTTACAGCTAAGTACTGAGGATTTGGGTAAGAGTTTTATCTATCGGCATCAAATCAATGTGATTTCTTTTTCCTGCATTTATGTCACAACAAATTCCAATAGAAATTATAACACTTAAATAACAACAAAGGGCAGAAGCCATAAAATCAACAAACTAGGCCATATATTTGTTTGCAAAATAAAATAGATGATAATATCACTCAGGTTTTTGAGAAAAAAAAAAAATCCAACTAGCAATAACCTGAATGGTAGTCCATTGAGATTTATGGATGAAATGAGTAGAAGAATTTATTTTAAATTCCAGGAGTATAAAATTCTATTTTAAGTTTCTGAAGCAGCAGTGGCCTTAGCTAGAATAATTTCATTAATTATCAATAAGAAGCTCACCTGCAGATTTATTATTCAGTAAATGTGTACTGAAGCCTTTTTCTTTCTTCTGCTGGCTTACGATTTTTGTCTAACCTAATATGGAAGAAAAAAACCCAATCTTATGCTTATATATTATTCTCTTTCTAAAGGTATTTTTTTACTTGAAAACATTGACAATGACACTTAAAAAATTCTTGCCCTTTTGATCAGTAAATGCTTTCCTCAGGTTAATCTGGTGGAATATCACACCAAACCAAGGGAGGCATATGTATATTTACTTTCCATTTGCACTAAACAAAACACTCTATCCTTTTTCTAACAAGGCATTTATTTCTCTTCCCTAAGTGTCTTAGTGAAAAAAAAAAAATGTTTAGAGATAACTCTACCTGCAAAAAGCCAGCACAAACAAAAGCATTGGCAAAACCCAGATAGTTCCTGATATTTTTCCCTTTCTAAATCCCTCTCCTTTCTCTCCCCATCATCAGCTATGTGCTTAGATAGAAGAAAAAAATAATTCAATTGGTATCATAACACAATGATCTTAAACTGAACGGCACCTTATGGTTCCAGCAGCTGTGTTGGCTCTTGTACATGGAGTACTTTGCATTTCTCCATGGCTTAGTGCTGCTCTGTTCTACATATTGCTCTTGGCTTAGAGTCTCTGCCGGTCCATCAGGCAAACATCCGCTGAACTCATCAGAACAGATTTTGTTAGATATTGAGGTAGCTAAGAACACAGGCTGGTGTGTGATTGGACGTCCCCACAGACTCCAAACAACTTAGATACCTACCGTTTATGGGGATCATATGAGAATTAGTCACATAAACTGTCAAGGTTATTTTTTTAACTCACATTTTCTTAGGCATCAATAAAGCACTTCAAAATCTCACAATGAATGCATGGCCCAGGAGCTCTCAAATGGGGGAGGCTGAGTTCAATAGATCGGACTGAGGCTGACCTCTTGCCAGGGTCTTCTCCAGTCCCACAACGCGCTTTTGACTGGAAAAAAGAGGCGAAGCAAGACTTGCAGAAGCAGCTTTATTTTGAAGATGTTAATAGGCTTCATGTGGTGGTGCCAGGAGGTCCCAGGACAAAGGCACAACTCAACCAATTAACTAATCTTTGAAGGAATTTGTCACTAAAGTGGAAAACTTCTATTAGTTTTAATCAACTCATTTCTGCAGCTTCAGCTAATAACGAGCTCTAGCACTTGATTGCTCCATCCCGAGGCTATTTCCTTGGATGACACTTGGGCCATTTATGATCAATTGAGATATCTATATGTACTTAACGTTGAGTATCTGCTGCTGGGTGTTTGCATAACTGCATATCTGTTTTGTGCCTTTGTTGTCTGTAGGGTCCGTTAGTTTATCTGAAGGAACACTGTGGGCTTCTGAAAAAAGTAATGTCAGCCACCGCGCTATAAATTGAAAATAAAAACAACTTTAGCTGAGATTCATTTATACCAAATAAATTAACTGACAAGCTCCTTGTCTGACTGAATCCATATAACAACACTGTTGTGCTAATTATGTAGGGAATAAGTGATAAGAAAGCTAATTACAAGCACAGAAATATCTCTCTAAGTTCAGACAATATCATCGTGAATGCCACGGCACAGCAGAGCCACTGGAGTTCAGCTTCTGTTAAGTTTATCATTACTATTTTGACAAGATTATTTTCTTTGATTTTAAACTTTTGTTCTGGGTTGTGAGCACAGCTCATGGGGTTGTAATGGCAATAACTATTCCTCATGGAAATCTCCAATTTAATTGAATCAAGAACCTTGAAAATGAGCCAAGACTTCTATAAGATGCGAGGCAGCCTTTAAGGGTTTGATATGAAGGATAATATGCTATTAATGTTTTGGGGGGTTTAGTTCAGTTCTTATAGAACTCTACAGGGTTAATTTAAATTATATTTTATGAGTATTTTCCATAAGGAATAAAACATTGATTATTTGATCATGCTAGAAATACCATCTTAAAATACTTGAATGCCATCTCCTATGAATTATTAAGCAATTCTATAAATGGGAAAAATTATAAGAAAATAAGTGATTTTCATATCGGATTCATTCCATTGCCACCGTTTCTAGACTTTGCTCTTATCAGCTGATAATTAATGGTCTGGGACAGAAAACTAAATACTTGGCACAAACGCTGGCAGTCCTGAAATCAGCAGTGAGATTCTGACTGGCTTCAGGAGGGCCACGATTTTATTTTTCACCAACCAAAGGATTCATGATGGGTTGGGTGACTTCTTGAGGAGCACTATGTAAAATGCAGACCAGATGGCTCAGAACCAAATGCTATGATAATTCAGTGTTTGTAAATAAAAACACATCTATGGAAATTAAAATCCACGTTTGTCCTTTACCTGAGACCTCAGCATGAAGGGTCAGGACCCAAGAGAGGTGGACACTACCAGTCTTGCTGCTGGAAGAGGTCCCTTTAGGAAAGATATGATATGCAGAGACAGAACTGCAAGAATGACTTGGGTTGCTGTTGCCATATTTATTTTGTCACCACCCATCGCTTCCCTGCCCATCACAGGTACTTACATAGCCAGTACCACTATAGTTTATTGCTTTTCCACATTCTTTTAGTGAATTTATCCTCACAAGGCCTCTGTGAACGACAGACATAAAACCGCCATCATTTTACAGATTAGAAAGTAAAGTACTATAATCTAGCTAAACCAAAAATACAAATTCAGATCTGCTGCATTTGCCTTCCTGTCGTGGATCCAAAGTTCACTAAAACCTGACTTGAGAACCCGTCCTTTCCAGATCAAAAATTCTGTTTATTTTAAATTAACTCCCAGCAGATACCTCTTTATAATAAAGCTAGTGAAAGGTAAATGTTCTCCAGAAACACAGACTCATCTCTTTCTTTGTCATGAGAACTACTTGTCTTCATTCCCTGGGCATGGACCCATAAAGATAAGACTGTCATTCCAGAAATATTAGCACCTGTGGAAAGAAAAGCACCACTGAGTTTTAGTAAACTGTCTACTGCGGGGGGGGGAAGAAAAAAAAGAAAAAAGCAAAGTAAAATGGTAAAATGTGCAGAGGGATGCCAGATTGAGTCAGTCACAACTGTCTTCATGCAAACCCCATCTGGTTTCAAGGCATGTGTGTCCTGGAATGTGAAACATTTGGGTTGGACGGTAAACAGGGTACAGGCAACTGTTTGGATAACTCTTGTCAAACTCAGTCTTCATGTTCGTTTTAGATAGCCAATTACTGGGGCCCCCAAACATCGCCCTTTCGGCGTGCCAGGTGGATCTTCTGCGAGCGCCCTGCTCGGGAAGCGGCTGTGCAGCCGCCGCGC